TACACTCAATAGCCACATGCAAAAAACTCCCAACTACATCAAATCAATCATACCGGACACCCGCTCACAAAGAACAGGAAGGACCCTGCGAAATCACAGGAACCATACACTCCAACCACATCGCACCACATCCTATCAGTCATCGTTTTTCCTATCAACTGCCAAACTATGGAACCACCTCCCAGAATCATTAAGATCCTTGCCCCATACATCCTTCAAAAAAGAAATTAACCAGCGACTAGGGATGCCCAAACCCCCAAACTACTACAAAATTGGCTCAAAAACTGGAAATATTCTTCATACCCGACTAAGAACTGAAATGTCTTGTCTAAATTCTCATCGTTTTCAAATCAACAAAGCAGATTCGCCTGAATGTTCTTGCGGCCACTTCAAGGAAGATGTCCGCCACTACGTAATATTCTGTCGAAATTATGATGCCCAAAGGAAAACACTATTTGATAACGCTTCTCGTATACTGGGAGAAAATTTTGCAAATTACTCACCCGACCAAAAATTGAACATTTTTATCCACGGAGATCGCTTGAGAAGCGAGGGCAGTCGAAAAATGGCTTACGCCTTTCAAAAGTTTTTGACAAAAACAAATAGATTTTCGTAGTAACAAATAAATTCATTCAAAGTTTTTAAAATTTGCAATCCCGAGAGCTGAGCGGCTGATGGAACACCAAAATTTACCGCTCATGAGCGACTGGTCAGCGGCGGCGGCGGTTGTTTCACATGTTTTATTTTTGTTCCAGAGTGGTGCCTCGAGTTAAGCGATTGCGCTTTTGCACCACTCTGCTATCACTTTTATGTTGCTACATTGTGCCATATGTTTCATTGATCATGCTTTATTTCTCGTGTATCTTTTGTTCCTTAATAAACGTTTTGTGTGTGTGTGTGTGTGTGTGTGTGTGTGAACTGGCGCAGATAATACATTATTGACGCTACGCTTACGCGGCCGCTCTTCTGAATTCTGATTGAGTTGACGTTAGGGAAAGGCAGCATTAAGTATTGCCCAGAAGATATCACGTGACAAGCTGAAGGAATTCCTTCAAGCTGAAGGAATTCCTTTGTTGAGCCGCTAGAATCCGAAGGAAACAGCGGAAATTGCCTACGACTATTTAATGAATTTAACGGCGATGAATAAGTGCGAAAAACGTTTTGGCTTTATAAAATTTAATGAAATGACCAGGGTAAAAGTTTTATTACTGGCGGTCAATTCAAAACGGCGCAAACATTTAAACAGTGAAGACAGTGAAGCACGATTCAAAGTGTAGTACACCTTTCGTACTTTGAGCGGCGATAGCGGGATAACGGTGTGGAGCTTCGAGGATCGGTCTTCAGTTCCCGGACCAGAAAGGTGGGGCCTATGCAATGTCAAATTTCATCAAAATGGTGATAGGTACTGTCCCTTTAAATCGGAAATATTGAATTTCAAAATTGCAGCATTTTGATTCAGAGGGGCTAATGCATAGGAATACCCCTCTGAATGCGTGACGTCAGCGCAGATATCTAACGATTTTTCAATGTTTGACTAAAACGTTTTGTAGCACGCAGTGGTATATGCTGCTTTGCGCGCAACAAGTGCCGCACTTTCAGCTGCCAAACTATTGCTTCCAAATAAAGTCGCTAGGAACAGCGGAAGTAAAAGTCTAATATCTTGAAAACCGGTGAATATTTTTCGGTGAAATTTGGTAGATATTCGTTTTCGCTCTTTCTGAACCGAGCGACCTCACTTTCATGCCAATTCATAAACTTTTTTGAAGGTGGGAGGGTCCCTTTAACGCATTTCCAATAACGACAACGTTTTAGAAGCGTTGAAGAAAACTAAGTATATCTCATAATCAAGCAATGGAGGCTTTGCTATAGCCGTAGTTTTATCATCCCACATGAAAAAGTTATGCGTATATCTAACCGCGAGAAAATAGAGCAACTTGATATTTTTACGTATGAGCGGTTTATTTATGTTTCATTCTGTACCGTACCTAGTTCCTGAGCATGTAGCCGATTAACTATACTTACCTCGCCTTTTTAATAAATTATGTTTCGTTACGAGTGTAAGGCTTTGCAGTCTCAATGTCCAAATATAATTTGTGCGTCTCGCAACACCTATAAATAATGTAACTTTCAGTTGATGGAATAATTATTCATTTCTATAGGCATAGATCGAATGGGTGGAATTATTATTCATCAATACACCTTTTTGCACTCAAAATAGGCATCTTTTCATTCAATTTCGGCGAATTGCATTCAATTTTAGCGATCTCTCTATTCGAAGCAAATGAGAGATCGCTAAAATTGAATGCAATTCGCCGAAATTGAATGAAAAGATGCCTATTTTGAGTGCAAAAAGGTGTAATTGAAACCGCTTTAATGACGCCTAACACATTGCTGAACGTCTATTAGACGTTCAAACATCTTGTGCTCGTTAGGGGAGAGTGGGGTGGGTTGTATCAGTTTTTACTCCGAGACCCATAACCTCGTAACTATCCGTGATAAACTCATTATTTCCATACTATCTCCTTCCTTGATTCTTCTGCTTTTTTGTGCAAAGTAACTTTTCCGCTACCTCTACCAGTTTTTCTTCTACGGTCTGCCGAATAGAACAATGTTTTTGATACAACTTGCCCCATGGCTTGGGTGAGTTGTATCACATGGTGGCCGGTGGGGTAATTTGTATCACTAGGTATTTCACGTTTCAGGGAGTGTGCTTGCTACTGGTTTTGAACATAACAACAACATTAAATGGGGTTAATACAATGTATATGCTCAAAGGCTTCACTTTTATTAGACCAAACTTAGGTCAATGCAATCCGAACGAAACATCGAAACGAACGAAACATCAACAGACTAGATGCAAAAGTGGCCCGTTAAGAGCAAAAAAGCCAACACATTGTGCCGAAATGGAACGAGTATTGACTAGCTACCTACAAACGAGAGACAGGGCTTAGCTTTCGCGATCAAAAGCAACATACCCATACATACATACATGTTACAACATACCCCACCCGGCTCTGATACAACATGTACCTCGCCGCCATCTTGGAAAAAACATCCTCGTGCTCAAAAACAGCGGACAGCTGGAGAAATCCATTTTCACTAACGCAGCCTTAGAACCTACCCTCACCACCGCTACGGAGATCTTTCAAATTCGTGCACATCTAAATGCCCAAAACACACATTTTCTTGCAACTCATTTTTTTAGAATGACATTAAAAAAACATAAAATCGGCTCTCACCTCGAGACGCGTCCACCCAGCCACACGACAGAACAGGGAAAGATGGCGCCCGGAAAACCTCGTCGGCTGGTCGTGTCACGAGCGCTATCTATTGGATAAGTTTGGCACAATTCGCCCTGATACAACTTGGACATGATACAACTCTCCCCGCTCTCCCCTAAACATAATTCTTAAAGGGACAGTATCACCATTTTGATGAAATTTGACATTGCATAGGCCCCACCTTTCTGGTCCGGGAACTGAAGACCGATCCTCGAAGCTCCACACCGTTATCCCGCTATCGCCGCTCAAAGTACGAAAGGTGTACCACACTTTGAATCGTGCTTCACTATCTTCACTGTTTAAATGTTTGCGCCGTTTTGAATTGACCGCCAGTAATAAAACTTTTACCCTGGTCATTTCATCAAATTTTATAAAGCCAAAACGTTTTTCGCACTTATTCATCACCGTTAAATTCATTAAATAGTCGTAGGCAATTTCCGCTGTTTCCTTCGGATTCTAGCGGCTCAACAAAGGAATTCCTCCAGCTTGAATCACAATCTCCCTCCAATGTATGACGTTTATCACGTGATTGTCACGTGATATTTTCTCCCATTGTCAATTGTCACGTCCAATTGTCACTCCCTCCAATTGTCACGTTATATTTTTATAGGCAATACCTAATGCTACCTCTCCCTAAGGACAACTCAATCAGAAGAACGACCGCGTAAGCGTAGCGTCAATAATGTATTATCTGCGCCAGTTCTGTAGTAATTTTGCATGCTTCCAAACTGGTGGCCATGCTTGTATAGTGGTGGTTCGCTCATGAAAATGAATCATGAAAATGAAATGTGGTTGCAATATTTTTCACCGAGTTCGGTCCTCAAACTATGTTTTTCTGATTCAGAAAAATAAGAAATGCTAGTAAAAAAAAAATCAGCTCCATACATTGATTTTTTTTTTGATGATACTGTCCCTTTAAGCATCACTCGATACTTTTCATTTATGGCACGCAATAGTAACAAATTTTGATAGACCCTTCATATAACGTGAATAATGAACACGGCCTTTGGTTCGTGACGATTTGTCAATAATTCAGCCACATGATAGAACCAAAGAAGCAAATTGTACCTAAGTGCGGTCATCAATTGTAAGTGCGGTCATCAATGAGTTAAACCCATGATTGCAACTATGTACAAACCACGTACAAACGTCTAACTATATCGTCAAATTATATAAATATATATTATTATATAATTGATTATTATTATATAACTGCATTATATTATTATGTAAACGTCTACCTTGTGTAAAATGTCTACTGCACTTGAAACAACCTATTGCACGTCTGGAGTCGTTGAGCCAGTCCGCATGTACTCGTAGCAAAGGGAATCAAACGTTCGACCTCAATGCGTATTAAACCTGAAAAAACCTATTACACTATTCGAATAAGGGTAACACTTATTTTTGTTTTAGGTACTTGGAGGATACTGGCTAGCTATAACGGTAATATACCTAATTGCAAGACGACAGGCACATTGCGTCGGCATGGGTACACAAATTGGACCGTTTCTTTGATGGAACATTTCTTTTTATAACGCCGAACATCCCGACCGTTACAACGTTTAGATTTGCTCTAACGAACCATGATTCCTCTTTCGTGGCAAACGGCGCTATAAACAGATTTGGTTGGCATGTTGTCGCGAATGGGGCTTGTGCTGCTTCCCGTACCGCGGATTCGAGCCCGCACCTGAGCTGAATGTGTCCCGTGCTGTGTTGCAGCGTCGTCAGTGGTGCTGGCGCTGGTGCTGGCGCTGGTGCTGGTGGCTGGGTCTGAGAGCAGGACCCCCCTCCGCAGCCGACGAGTCGCGCCCCATGCCGACAGGTGAGCCCAACCCACTCCCGTGACACTTCCACTGTCCTCTCGAGAACCAGTGGGGTGCTCTACAAGCGAGGGAAAGTGTTATAAAGGTTTTAGAAAACTGACATTGCTAAAGAACAGACTACCTTCCTGGCTACCTACCTACTTTTTTGTGATCAACAATAGGTAAAACAGTTAGGTATTACAACTAACCCACAAAGGTACCTAATACAAAATATCATCCAATTGTTACTTCCGTCCCCATTCGAACATGTCACAGCCTGCTGACCTGCACACCGCCCTGTGCTGAGTACGGCCGAAATCAGTCCGATCTGGGCCACCTCCCGCCGGGATGGGACCGTTCGCGGCGTGAGGTGGCGCGCCGTTTTTGCCGCGTCATCAGCGGCTCGCACGTGCGCGCCAGCCGGCTAGTTGTCGCCGCCGCGCTGTGGGTGCGAGCAGGTGACCTGGTCGGGTGGCACGTTTTGGGGCGGTCGGTCTCAAAACGTGCTCAGCTGACTGGTCGGTTATATAAGAAAGCCGGCCTGCGGGGTAGCCTGCCGAATAGCAGTGCATACCAAACGCGTAGCCGTAACAACTATGCTAAGTTTGTAAACACCTCTGACATTTCTGTCCTCATCCGCGCGGTCTGTCTCGTTGCAGGCCGGCGGGGCGGAGCTCGGACGTGGCGGAGCCGCCGCCGCTGTTCCGCTACTACGTGCTGGACCGACGCGGGGCCGTGGAGCGGACCTTCCTCTCGCCGCAGCCGCTGTCGGGCCCGCCGCCAGCAGCCGGGCCTCTGCCCCAGATGGACAGCGTGGTGGCCACCATCGGCACTATCGTCAACGCAGAGGTGGCCTCGATGGGCGGCCGGGACCAGAGCACCGTGGCGCCGCGGGTCGTTAGCTACCAAGCGGAGGAAGTGGAAAAGGTGGCGCCACAGTCACCGGAAGACAGTGAGGAGGCGCCACAGTTGCCGACAGGCGGTGAGACGGAATATTGGCCCCAGATCGACAGTGCGGTAACCGACAGAGAGTCTATGTTCAACTCTGAACAGGAGTTAGTTGAAGTGGAAGATTTTAGTGAAAATGATCAGCAGGTGAGCAGTGACGCGGGCGATGAAAGCTATGCTGAGCCTGAATCGATCGAAACACCGTCAGTGCTGCCCCCTACCGCACAAGAGACACACCACACTCGGCCGAGTGTGCCTTACATCTCCCCGTCGGTGATGTCGTCAGTTCTGACTCCGGAGGAGATCGAGCTGCTCTCTCAGCTGAATGTGGCGCTGCTCTCAGACCCCGAGGTTGCCATGACGACCGAGGTGCCGCTGGGTGAAGTCGCCTACATGCAAACAGAACGGACCACACCGTCCAAAGTTCACTACTTCGTACCTGCGTCGCCGACCCCTCACGGCGAACAGAGCGACTCGCAGTTCGGCCCAATACCGACAGAGGCGCTAGAGGGTCGCGTGAGCAGCCAAGGAGAGCCTATCTCGGCGATTGACGAGGATCCGACCCCGCCGCGGCGCCGGCCGTCCCACAGAGCGCCGGTGCGGTCCCCGACGATGGACGGTATCACGGGCGGCGGCCTGCGTCCGTACACAGCCGAGGAGCTGGCCGCCCTGGAGGCCGCCTACCTGGAGGAGGAGGAGGCGGAGGAGCCGCTGCCGCTGCACCCGGTGGTGGACAGCGTGTTCTCGCCGTACCTCTCCCACTCGATCGCCTCCCGGTTCATCCCGGACGCCATCGGAGCCGGCCATGGCCACGGAATGGCTCACAGTGCGGGGTCCGGAGCGACTGGGGGACAGGGACAGGAAGAGAGAGTTCCTCCCGGTCACGAGACCCGGCCCCTGATCGTGAACAGAGAGACCATCAGTGCCGATCAGATCAAGGCCATGGAGAACTTGGTGGAACTTCTGTCAACTCCCGTCAAGTCGCAGGAGACGACCTCAACCATCGACACAGCTCCAGTGACAGCTCAGCAGAGCGCTTCTGAGACCGTCGACGCCAGCGGAGCCGTTCCTTCCGACATACAGTCCAGCGAGCAGACGAGTCTGGAGGAGGACGACCTGCTCATGGTGCTTGGTGAGGCAGCCAGCAAAGGAGGGAGTGTCGGGTCCAAAACGGCACCCGCAGCGACACCCTCAGCGAAACCGACAGCACCTGCAGCGTCTCCTGTGTCGGGCGGCGCTGCGGACACTGAGCTGGAGGACGGCAGCGGGTCCGGCGCCGAGCCGCCCGCCGTGCGACCCACCTTCACCCTGTCCAGTCTGTTCCGACCCGGAGCGCTGGGAGCCGGGGGATTCCTCTCCTTCTCCGGCGAGGTCGGCTCGTCAGAGGACGGCTCCGGTGAGGCTCCTGACGAGGACGAGGCGGTCTCAGAGCTTCCTCATATTCTGCTGGATACGGAGGAGGACCTCTCCTCGCGGGTGCGGCCGCTGACCGTGGGCTATGAGCAGACGCCGGAGCTGAACTTCAGCAACGAAATCCAGCATCACGAAGGTCACCATGATGAGCACTTTGAGGCCGAACATAGGCAAGATCACGACGAAGGAGATCACAAAGTGCACGATCCAAGCTACTACATCAGTGCCGAGAATAAGAAGCATCATGAGCATCACCACGAAGGCGCCGATCACGAGTCCCACTCCGGCGACCACGCGCAAGGTCACGGCGACCACGAGGGTCACCATCAGGGTCATAAAGGTCATCATGGAGATCACGGAGATCACCACGGAGACCACAAAGAACACCACGGCGATCATCACGGTAACCACGGCGCCGGAAACGGTATAGGTGGCGCCACCTTACGGTCGCCGCCAGAGGGCAGCCTGGGTCTGGAAGACACCCTTCTGGACGTGGACCAGAGCACCGACACGTTTGTGGAAAACATGAACCGACTCGGGCTGTCGCTCTACCGCCGCCTGGCGCCCGACTACCCCAAACAGAACATGGTGTTCTCGCCGCTGGGTGTGAGCAGCAGTCTGGCGCAGCTGTTCCTCGGGGCGCGCGGCGACACGGCCGACCAACTGGACCGGCTGCTGCAGCTGGACACCATGACCAGCTTCAACCCGCACGTGGGCTTCTTCAAGTTCCTTCGCTACATGAACCAGGCCGGCGAGCACGCCCAGTCGGCCGTCTGTAACGCTCTGCTTACACATACGGTGGGTAACCGAAAACGGGTCACGGGTAGAGTCCAGCTCCGCGTCCTCGTATTTTATTCGGTGCACAGCTGACATCATTTAGGTGTCCATTTTCGACATTGCTTGACTGAACCCCATAATTAGCAACGCGCATGGTGTAAAACATGTGGGTTTTATATGAGACTTTTATATGTGACTTAAAATATGTAAGTTTTATTCAATGTTACATCTAACTAAATGAACGTAGTTATTAAAATATCTAATAACCATCTTAAAATGTCGTTTTTTGTTGTCGCAGGAGCAGGGTGACATGTTCAGCGGCTACGAATTCTTGCTGTCGCGCTTCTACCAGCCAGTCATCGACAAAAATGTGAGTACCGTGAATGTGTATAGGTACTGCCTACCATCCTACCCCGGTACTTAGTTTCATGGCCGGGCAATGTTCGTCACGTGCACTGGCATGCAGTATTGCTTCATCACAAAGTATTTGCTCCACTGAACGAGGGTCGATTAGTTCACATGAGATCAGATGATTTCTGACTGATTAAAAGCAGTACCGGTAAGGTGACCGTCTCTCCTCTCTGTCTTCAAGCTATCCCGGCCATGCCGATCTGAGACTTCTCCGTTAACATGACCGTATGTGACCCCTTTAACCAGGCGGACCTGAAGTCGGCTCCGGGAACGGCCATCCAGAAAAGCATCAACAGCTGCGTCAGCAAATCGACCGGCGGCCTGGTCAGCGACTTCATCCGGCGTCCCGAGAGCCTGCCGCCCGTGGAGCCCTCTCTGGTCACCGCCTCCGGCACCTTCTTCAACGTGAGCTATGGCGGGATTACTCTTTAAGTATGTCTTCTTTGAATTAATATAAATTGGTAAAACAAAAAGTGGCAATTTAATATTAAAACCACCTATGTTGAGTAAAATGTCATTAAAAGCGAAGTGGGCATTTAAATCAATGATATTTTCACTGATAAGTGATAATTTAAACGGAGAGCGTAATAATGCTCTTATTTCACTATGCTTATCGGAAGGCTAGCATGTCACCACATAGGACCACCGAAAGTCTCCCTGAGGCGATGTGCTGTCTCCGCCTGCAGGCGACGCTGGCGCCCTCTCTGGACGTCCGGCTGGTGGACACGACGTTCCTGCGCTTCCCGTCGGCGCTGCGGCGTGTGCTGGCCACGGCCGGTGTGCGCGTGCGCGGCTCCCTGCCGGCCGGCTACAGCGCGGAGCTGGACTGCACGGTGGCCGCGCTGCCCTACTCGGACGGACAGCTGCAGCTGGTGCTGCTGCTGCCCGGCACCGCCGGACGATTCAACGCCGACGGCCTCTCGCAGCTGGAGTCGCGCCTGTCGCCGGCCGCCTGGCACCGCCTGATGCGCTCCGCCACCCCCCAGCAGCTGGAGGTCACCGTGCCCATCATATCACACCGGACCGAGGCCGAGCTGCGCCCGCTGCTCGGTCAGCTCGGGGTGCGCGCCGCGCTGACCGAGGGCAGCGCCGACTTCTCCGGTGTGAACGGGCTCAGAGATCTGCGGCTGGGCGGCGTGCTGCAGGCGACAGAGTTCCACCTCGGGGACGGCAGTGTGCTGCACGCAGGACACGCCGGACATGGAGACCATGGCGGACACGGGGACCATGGTGGGCACGGGGACCATGGCGGACATGGCGGACACGGGGACCATGGTGGACACGCCGGACATGGGGACCATGGTGGACATGGGGACCATGGTGGACACGGGGACCATGGTGGACACGGGGACCATGATGGACATGGGGACCATGGAACCCACGGGGACCACGGGGACCACGGAACTCACGGGGGCCATGGAACCCACGGGGACCACGGGGACCACGGAACTCACGGGGGCCATGGAGCCCACGGGGACCACGGAGCTCACGGGGACCATGGAGACCACGGAACTCACGGTGATCACGCGGCGCACAACGATCATGCAAACCATGCGGACCACGACGGACAAAGTCACGCGAACCGCCTGGACCACGGCGCACACGGCGCGGGCTCGGAGGACGACCTGGAGTTCCCCACGCTGCCGTCGCCGCTGTTCTCGGACCGCGCGGGCCGCTCGCGGTGGGCCGTGGGCCCCGAGCAGCTGCCCTGGGAGCAGCACGGCGCCCGGCCCGCGCAGCAGCCCCTGCCGCCCGGTACCCCTCTCGTCAGGGTCAACTTCGAGCGGGCGTTCCTGTACGCAGTACGCCACGAGGCCACGGGGGCGATCCTCCTCATGGGGCGATACTTGGACCCACACAGTTTTGCATGAAGGCATGGCCCGTGTGGTCAAGTCAGGTCAGAGGTCATGTTAGGTCAGCAGTATCTACGCGGTCTGGTCAGGTCAGAGGCTGGGTCACGTCAGGTTTCAGTCTGAATGGGTCGACACAGCATTAGTTCTGAAAGACAATGAATCCGTCCAGATGGCGGTGCAGGGTCCGATGGACCTGACATCTGATGGGCTGCAACAAAGCCAGACTCTCCCACATTAGGCGTCCGGACCAATTGCACGGTCTCACGGTCTGGGACGGTTCCGAACTCGGGACACACGAGCGGCTGCCTTTCTGCCCCTGAAACATCAAAAAATGTTTCACCGAGTTAATTCCCTGTGAATCAGAGGAAAAAGGACGACTGAGCATCGCCATCTTGCGGCCAACAGAAGCTAGAACGGCCAACGTCAAAACCCGCGCCCGGGATCGGAATGCAAGAGCACATCAACAGACTAAAAGCTGCAGCACCCTTCCACACAGCCTGTCGTACCTTCGTCATTGTTTCACTGGGATCCATTAGTTGGTTATGTGGCGTGATGATGCAATTTTCATGTGGTCGTATCCGAAGGTTGGGACTTTTCAATTAGACAATCACTATTCTTTAGAATTGTGATTTTCTATTGAAAATCCCAACCTGAGCTACCTCTCTAGGGGGGTGTTTAGCGTTTCTGCCGCGATTTTGGTCATTTTGATCCCCGCGAAAACGGCTCGATAGATTTTCTTGCCATTTTCAGCGTTTGGTCCCGTATCGGGGAGCTACCAGCTGGCATCGGTCGCTTGAAATATAATTAACCCGTTTTGGGGTAATCGGCACGTGCATTTTCCCATAGGGTTAACATGGGGAAAAATTTAAAATGCGATTTGCGCAAAAACTCCACGTTAGAAATGAATTATATTTTTAGGGTCGAATCTCGGGCCGGGACCCCACCTCATGATGGTAATTATTTAAAATATAATTAACAAAATTTTGGGTAATCGTTAAGGACAGTTACCCCATGCTGAGCCTATGGCGATTTCAAAAAATTATTTTCAAATCGATTTTGCAAAAAAATTCCACGTTAGATTTTGAAAAAGTTCCAATATGTTCTGCCCCGGGGTGTCGGCTACCACATGGTATGGGTCAGATATGGGGCGATTGAAAAGCACGTGCCACGTGCAAACGTGTTTGATGGGGTAACCTCCGGGAAAATCCGACATTGGCCAACTGGGGGTCCTATGGCTCCGAAACCACTCCACCTAGCGACACCAAATCAGTGCAGCCGGTGAGCAGATGAGTCCAGCTGGTCGCACCAGTGGTCACGTGGCGCACGTGCTATTGCACGTGCCGTGGCACGGGGTCAATTTTTGTTCTTAAATACACCAACATTGTGAAATGCAAGGAATGGGGGAAATAGCCGTCAGGCCGTCAGTTTTTATGATAGAGTCGATCTGAATACGGGTATAGACACAGAATGAACGGTGCTAGAAAACTGCTATCTCGGATTTTTTGTAAAATGAGAAATTAAAAATTCTAGGGAAATTATATATTAGAAAGGTGAAATTTCCCTAAATTTTCTCGTTTTTCGAGTTTAGCCGTCCACTGTTCATCAACGGTGACACCGGCCGGGATAATCTTTTACATGCTGATGGCTACGTCGATGGGTCATTACGTGGCGTGAACGGTGAAGCTGTCACAGGTCCGGCACGTGCCACGTGGCCACGTGTTTGAGTCGAGTACCTCCCAGATTATCGTGTATAAGCCAACTTGTGGCCTTATAGCACGAAAACAGCAGCAGTCAGGAAGCCTGAAATGGAACAATCGGTGAGGGGACAAGCCCTGCTTGCACGACCGGTGGTCACGTGGCACACGTGCAAATCTGGGCACCTCCGCTGCGGAGATATTTTATAGTGAAATATTCAAATGTACATAACTTTGTAAGTTTAAGTCCGATTGGGCTAAAATTTGGTGGGTGGATGAATTGTTAACCGACATGAACGAATGCGCCATGTTTGTTGCAGTGCGCCACGTTTGTCTCAAAGCGCCATTTTTGCCGCAAATCGCAGAATGTGCGTAACTTTGTCGAACATGGGACGATTAGGGTGCGCTTTGATTGAGGGATTGCTGCTTAAACGGCAGATATGAATGCACCACACTTGCCGCAAGGCGCCATATTTGTCTTAATGCGTCAGTGTTTGCGTTTTGCCTACGGCGGGCGTTTTTTTTGCGGCGGTGTTTGCGTTTTTTCGGTGTTTGCATTTGACGGCGGGCGGCCGTTTTTGCGTTTTTGGCGGTGTTTGCGTTTGGCGGCGGGCGGCCGTTTTTTGCGGCGTTTTGCGGTTGGCGGCGGGCGTGCGTGCGTTGCGGGCGTTTTTTGCGGCGGTGTTTGCGTTTTTTGCGGTTTTTGTGTTTGACGGCGGGCGGGCGGGCGATGCGGGTATTTTTGCTGTTTGCGTTTGGCGGCGGGCGGCCGTTTTAGCGGCGGTTTGAGGCGGGCGGCCGTTTTTTTTTGCGGCATTTTGCGGTTTGCGGCGGGCGGCCGTTTTGTGGTTTGCGGCGGGCGGCCGTTTTTTTACGGCGTTCGTTATTTGCGGTTAGCGGCGGGCGGCGGGCGGTCGTTTTTTTTTGTGGCGTTTGGCGGTTTGCGGCGGGCGGCCGTTTTTTGCGGCGTTTTGCGGTTCGCGGCGTGCGGCCGTTTTTTGCGGCGTTTCGCGGTTGGCGGCAGGCGATGCGGGCGTTTTTTTGCGGCGGCGGTGTTTGCGTTCTGCGGCGGACGCGCGTTTTTTGCGGCATTTTGTGCGTTTTTTTCTGCGGTTTTCGGCGGGCGGGCGATTTTTTTGGTTTTTTTGCGACATTTGCGTTGGCGTTTTGGGCGTGCGTTTTGCGCGTTTTGCGGTGTTTGCGTTTTGCGGCGGGCGGGCGGTTTTTCACAATTAAAGTCCCAACCTTCGGATCCGCAGTGCTGTTCGATAAGCGCTGCCCGGGCCTATTTGACGGACCTGTTCACCAGACTGCAGTTATACCCTGAGTCGAGGGGGGCTCCGGTATGACTGTCGTCCGTTCAGATGTTACATTTTTGTTATGATGGTAATGTGCGTTTGTTTATTGTTATTTGATGCTATAAAGTATGAGATATGTTAGCTACGAGAATGAACCGACGAACAAGACATACAACAACGTAAGAAGCATCGCTTCACTGGGCGAAATATGGGCATGTTGTCGATGATTTTAAGTTACAAACACTGTCAGTGAAGGCCGAAACACCGACCAGTTGGAATTAAAGTATCTGGCCTAGGAGGCATGTTTGAATTTTAATAGCTGGCACGTCAAGGTGAATTAATGTTGAAAGCGCTGTTTTGTACATTGTTGTTGCTAATCAATACACATTATTTGTAAGAATGACCTTCGATTATCGTCATCTGTCGGTAACGCATCGTCATGCTATAGGATCCGGCAACACCCGATGTAAATCTATATCAGTGCAGCGTTCAGCCACTGTTGCAGTGACCAACAGCGACACATCGATTCCGATTGATTTGTCAGAGGCAGACATCAGCCTCGGAACAGCATACCAATGCAATAGAAGCCCCAGCCCCCCCCCCCCTCCGCGATAGTGAGAGCAGCAACAGCAGCGCCCCCCGCGTTCAGTGACCGATAGACCGAGCACCGGCCTGCGCAAATTTCACGATTGACCATCCTGCAGCGGAAGTCGATAGTCCTTCGGTACCAGTTCCGGCCTAAACGGCCTCACGGTCGATCCGCCTCCCGTTCCCCTAGTGAAAGAGCGGAGGTGGCTCCATGTGTATTTGGCAATATACAGCAATATCCAAACGCGCACCGCACACACACGCACACCGGCAAACGGCCCCAAAAGGAGGACAGAGGGCGAGACAGGCACACCAGTCGATGCCGGCTGAGTAGCACTCGTTGAACTCGTTGCACCGTGATGAGAACGCTAGCCTCTTACAGACCGATATTGGTTCATTATGACTCAACTGTCAACTGTGTTGCATTTCAATGACTCGCGCAGCTTTAACACACCGTTCTTTCAGGCCTGTACAATCACATCATTCATTGCACTCAGGTGTAACTGTGAGGTAACGCCCGGAGATCGGTCCACCAGGAGCCGTTTACCCCTCATAGTGACAGACGAATATACCTTAGAAACCACCGCTAACTGAAAAAGCACTCCTCGCCAGACAATCACACCGAAGCAAGAAAAAGGCAGAAAAGGCAGCGCCGCTCTAAGAAAACCCAGCTGTGGGAAAGCAGCAGTCTTAATACTAAGCTATCAGCGCTTCGGGGCTGAACTAACGAGACAGAAGTGCGCCTCTATAACGGGCAACCACGCCAATCCCAGCCCCCAAACGCCCAACCAACTGATTCAGGGTTCCTCTTTCAAACAAGGTTTTGTACTTCCTTAGCCGAACACAAAACTGAGACCGCCCTATGCAATGGTGACGCACCGAGAGCAGCGCTCGCGACGCCCGCTCACACCCCGTACCTCCTCACCGCGCGGCACGCTCCACTTACACCTGTCCACCGCGCGGAACGCGGAACACCCCCTGCGCCGACCCGCGCCAGATAAACGCGCCCAGGAAAAGCAGACCCAAAACGCCGCGACACCCGCATCCAAGACAGCCACCAAACACGCACACACGCATCAACCATGAGCCGCGGGTGCGCGCACAACGAAACCCTCGCACCCGAACAACACTTCAAAAATATACAAAACGCACGTCTTCAGCCGCCGGCGATTTCAGCGAGTCCTCTGTTCCGCGGCGTACACGGCTGGCGGCGCGGGGCCTGAGCGCCCGTGCCACCGCCGCCGGGTCGGGTCGGGTCGGTCTGACGTCGGTCCGGGGTCGGCCAGGGTCGGGACGGGGAGCGGTCGGTCTCAGAGCCGGACCCGGGGTACCCAGGACACCCCACTGCACCCAGGGTACCCCGCTGGACCCAGGATACCCCGCTCGACCCGGGGTTCACCCTGGGTACCCAATGGTGGACCCGGGGCACCCCGTGGTACTCAGCTGCACCGGGTACTGCTCAGAGCTGCAGCGGCACCACGTCACTGCGGTCCTTGATCCGACCACCGTCACCCTCGGAGACGAACCGTTTACGTCCCCTGCGCGGGCAGACGGAGAGGAGCACAGGTCAGACGGGCCGAGAACCTCACCAGAGCCGGCAGCAGGGCGCCGGACCAAGCGGGTCAGCGACTCTGACGGCTCTAAGATTGTGGGAGTGCCGGTGTTCAAACTCGAAAAACCAAGGGACAATTCAGCGCTCACCAGTAAAAAAGTAGTTTAGCAAAGAGCTGAGAAGTACAAACTGTACTCCAATATCTACCAAACATTAAAGCTTATGATGGGCATTCAAATCGATAAAACAATAACACACTCATACCATCGTACCCAAAAGTCCCAGCAAAAACACGCCAAGCATAACACACTAGAGCTGGGCAGTGGGCAGCCTATGGATCTGTTCCCAGACCGCCGTCCGTTGACTGACCTGAGCGGCATCTTGCGGACTGTGTCTGGTGAGATGATCTCGTTCTGGGCGGCCAGCATCACCAGGCTCTCCAGCAGGGCGTAGGCGTTCGGCACGTCCAGCTGGATGTCGGCGATGTTCTCGAAGACGCGCTGGAAGCCCTCGTCCATCTGGTTGATGCTGATGACGCCAGCCTCGGAGAGGACGCGCAGCAGGCGCGACAGCTCCGAGATGGACTTGTCGTCCGAGCGCTCGATGGCCATCGTCACCGCCTCGTAGGCCAGCTCGTGGTGGAAGTGCGGCACCTCCAGCTCACGGACACACCTGAGACGACACACACACACACAGACGGCAGGGCGTTAGCCACGGGGGACGGGGGCGGCACATAGTCAGCCATGGGAACGGCACGGCGTTAGACACGGAGACAGCACGGCGATAGCCAGCAGCCACAGAGACACTATGGGGCCTCATCACCAATGCACCGTAGTTATTGATGGAACTATGCTCCTGGCTGTTTCCATTAGCTCCGATATCACAAATGTTCGACGAACGACCTGGTTTCCAAGGTCTGCAGTCAGCCTAATACCCACCACCAGCCAGGCCCCCTCTCTCGGGGTGCACCAACCTGATGGCCTCCTCGGAGTCGCCGGACGTCAGGAACTCCTTGAGCAGCATGGTCATCTGCTTGACGAGCAGTCGTACGGGCCGGCGCGGTCCGCCGACGCCCCAGACGGTGTCCAGCCGCATCATACCGCCCTTCATGTTCATCAGGTGCTCGGCGCGGTCCAGCGCCTGACTGAGAACGGGGCGGATATAGCGTCAGTCTGGGTCTCAGGGGGGGATGGGGGGATGGGGGACACACAGCGTCAGTCCAGGGTCTCAGTGGGGGGCGAAACAACATCCAATGAACAATATAGCGCCAACTTCAGAAGGAAACCAATAGTCGATACAATTAATGACATTTAAAAAAAAAACACTTAAAGAAATAGGATCAACCAGCCCAGTCTATGTTTCACCAAGCAATTATACCGTGAAACCGTGTTGCAACCGGAAACGACAGATGTTGCAGTGTAATTATGTGGATGACATGAGGCGATCACGCGGCAGATTATCCGCTGCGGATTCATGCCGGCGGGCGGCTCTATAGGTCATCAGTCGGCCAGTCCGTCAGTCAGTGCGACGCCGCAGAGTTGACCGTTACGCTGCCAGCGGCGGCACCGAGCGACCTTGGCCACTCGCACGTCAGGGGACGGACTGCGCCATGCGACACGGTATCGGCCTTCGGAACTAGTTCATACTGCGCGAGTCCCAGCCACAGCCCGGGCGCCGACAGAAGGGCGGCGTCACGAAATCCGAGCCAAACAAACTGCGTCGTGACGGGCGCTCAGGGAGGTTTGTGGAATATGATGGCATGGGTGACAGAGTAGGCAGATTGAGCTGTTTCAAGTGTGAATAAATTTGGCTGTTTGTGTTCATTCATGATATACACAAACAGAAGCTATTTTTAGCTCGTTCAAACTGCTAAGACCGCACCGAGGTGCGAAAATAAACACTCGGTGGACAGTCACTGTCAGTATCACAGGGCTACCGATCAGACCACTACCGCTCCTGTGACGCCGCCAAAACCAACTGGTCAGGTATTCACGCTGACGAAACCTGGGCCAACAGATCCAGACCGCCGCTGGCGCCCGTCTCGCGAAATCACCGACCTATTCGCCACCGGCTTCCGCCATGACACACTTCCCGCAGATGCTTTGACCAGCCAGCACCAGCACTTTAATAGGTAAGGCGCAAGCTCTCTAAAACAGTCCTCCAAGATCTCCACTTTTGACGTTCAGCACCCAGCCTCCCACATTCCCACTCCCAGACGAGCCCCGCCCCTCCCCTCCCCTCCAGCTACGCCGAGCCCCGACTCACACGGCCAGTCGGCACTCGACCTTGCCCTTGTGGCTGGTGAGGAACTTGGGCGGCAGGCAGTCGTCGGCGATAGCACGCGCCAGGAAGTTACCCAGGATGACGGGCGCCTCGGGACAGTCCAGCACCAGGTCCGGCAGGGAGGCCAGCAGCGTCTCGAAACCTGGACGGTACAGGGGAGAGGTCAGTGGGGCCGTGCAAAAAATACAGCTAGGTGACGTATATCGAATACTGTAACACTTGGGCGAGAAACAAAGTCAGGACGACTTCCAAACGACAGGCGCCGGAAGGGCACAGACGTCGGTCTCGGCCAGGCGGTGATGAACGCTGCAGTGCAGCCCTCGTCAAACTGCGTGGCCAGTGGGTATTTACTAGGTAATATATACTCGTTACCCACCTCTGGTGATGTCTGTCTGGGTCAGACACTCCTGGTACAGTACCCACCTCTGGTGATGTCTGTCTGGGTCAGACACTCCTGGTACAGTACCCACCTCTGGTGATGTCTGTCTGGGTCAGACACTCCTGGTACAGGTACAGTACCCACCTCTGGTGATGTCTGTCTGGGTCAGACACTCCTGGTACAGTACCCACCTCTGGTGATGTCTGTCTGGGTCAGACACTCCTGGTACAGTACCCACCTCTAGTGATGTCTGTCTGGGTCAGACACTCCTGGTACAGGTACAGTACCCACCTCTGGTGATGTCTGTCTGGGTCAGACACTCCTGGTACAGGTCGGAGAGCAGGATGGACGTCATCTCCCGGTGGGACGACTTGTGGTCCATGGCCACCTCGATCATCGTCACCACTACCTGAAACGGACAGGGGGCGGCTGCTAAAAAACACGCACTGGCTAACGAAACACACCAACAAACAACGAAACAGTCTATCGGCTACACTACACAACACAACACAACACAACACAACGCTACACAAACAACACAACACACCGCCACTGCAGCTATTAGCTGTGACAGACTATACATTGATAACAAACAACGC